AAAAAAAAAAAAAAAAATTTTCCTTTCTTTACTTCCCCAGCTTACCATCTTTTTTTTTTTTTTCATATCCTGAAAGTGTCAGTTATTAATGTCCTATAATACTTTTACTCTCTAGAGCAGGGGTGTCCAATGTGCAGCTCACAGGCTGTATGCAGATTATTTGGGGACTGCTTTGCTTACTTCTTGTGTTGCACATCAAGAAAACTATGCACAGACCTTTTCTTTTGCTCATCAGCTTTCATTAGTGTTTGTGTATTTAATGTATGGCTTAAGACAACTCTTTTCTTCTCATTTGTGGCAGAAAAGGAAAAAAGATTGGACAACCCTACTCTAGAGTATCCTTAATTTAACATTATTTACCTGTCTGTGTATCAGTATTTGAAACATGCTCAAATGGGGATAGGGGCTGTTTAGAGTCTATTTTTATTCCTCTAAATACAAATCTGGCAATTTTTTAAAAAATTACTTCAGGTAGAGAAGGTGACTTTAAACAAGAAATGACATCCATGCAACATATCTGTCAGAAGGACACATCCACTGTGAGCACAATGGTAAGCTTTATTGGTATAAATCTTGTTCTTCAAAATAGAAACCTAGAAATGGAATAATTTGGAATTTGATATACAGGGTAGACATAAAATTCATATGCAATTTAAAGTTACAACTATTTTAAATTGTGCACAAATTTTAAGTCCACCCTGTAAAGTTGGGATCAAGGGCATTCCCAGCAGAAGCTTTTGGTTAGTTTGAGTTTAGGGAAGAAATTAACTTGATGTGAAAACTATAATATGAGGCCTTATGACAGAAAAATTGCATAAATGTGACCATGGGCCTATACTTCGAAACATAATAAAGTATTAAAAATATGTCAGATGGCTCTTCAGCTGGGACTCTATGAAAGAGAAAATCTTTATGCACATAATTAGGTATATACCATGTTTATGTAACTAATCAAGAATGGTTGTAAATAGAGTCTACTACTGAATGATTGCTCTAGAATTAATAAGTATAGAAATGAAGGAAGGAATGATTAAATATGGACAGCTCTTTAATATCTTTCATTTGCTTCCCCGAAATAGGTAACTCATACTCAAGAGGATCTTTTTGAATGTAATAATTTGGGAGAAGATTTTATTGATCATATAGCATTGACTCAAACTATGATAACTCACATGGGAAAGAAACACTACATGAACAAAAAGTTTGGGAAACCCTTCAGTGACTGGTTATCCTTTAATCAGTATAAGGAAATTCATACTAGATGTAAATCACATCAAAATCATCTATGTGGTTATCTCTTTAATCAGAGATCTTCATTTAAAAAACACAGTAAGACCCACACTGGAGGGATAACATTTGAATGTGATGTGTGTGGCAAAACTTTCAGTAAAAGTTCTAATCTTAGACGACATGAGATGATTCATACTGGAGAGAAACCACATGGATGTAATCTGTGTGGAAAAGCCTTTACTCATTGCTCTGACCTTAGAAAACATGAGAGAATTCACACTGGAGAGAAACCATATGGGTGTCATCTATGTGGGAAGGCCTTCAGTAAAAGTTCTAACCTTAGGCGACATGAGGTAATTCATACTAAAGAGAAAACACATAGATGTCATCTGTGTGGGAAAGCTTTCGCTCATTGTTCTGACCTTAGAAAACATGAGAGAACCCACTTTGGAGAGAAACCCTATGGATGTCCTCTATGTGGGAAAGCCTTCAGTAAATGTTCTTATCTTCGACAACATGAGAGAATTCACAATGGGGAGAAGCCATATGAATGTCATCTATGCGGAAAAGCCTTCTCTCATTGTTCTCACCTTAGACAACATGAGAGAACTCACAAGGGAGAGAAACCACATGGATGTCATCTATGTGGGAAAGCCTTCACTGAATCTTCTGTGCTTAAACGACATGAGAGAATTCACACTGGAGAGAAACCTTATGAATGTCATGTATGTGGGAAAGCTTTCACTGAATCTTCTGACCTTAAACGACACGAGAGAACTCACACTGGAGAGAAACCATATGAATGCAGTATATGTGGAAAAGCCTTCAATCATTCTTCTGTCCTTAGACGACATGAAAGAACTCACACTGGAGAGAAACCATATGAATGTGGTATATGTGGTAAAGCCTTTAATAGAAGTTATAACTTTAGACTTCATAAGAGAGTACACACTGGAGAGAAGCCATATGTATGTTCTATATGTGGGAAAGCCTTTAGTAAGTGTTTTAACCTTAGACAACATGAAAGAACTCACACTAAAAACATAATAAATGTGTACAGTTCATCAACCATAGTTTCAGCCCCTAAAGACACCAGAGGACTAACACATTGAAGAAACATGTTTATAATCAGTATGGGAAAACTTATTTATCATTAGTACTTCACTCAACCTAAATTAATTCAAAATGGCCAGAATCAATATATATTTCATGCAAATGACACAAACTTTAGACATCGGACTGACCATTTATAATGTGAGAGAACCAAACTATGAATCAATTAAATGTGGAAGAATTTGTATCCACAATCCTACCTGTTAAACAGAAAGGGAGATATGACACAAGAGAAATTCTGTGTCAGTTATCAATGTGAAAATTCCTTCATTTTTGATTTATCTTTTAAATAAGTGAGTAATATCCACAGGAGAGAACCCCCATGTCTGTAATTTCTGCTCACTCATTTAGTTAATCACCAGTTTGGGGGTACGCGGTACGCAGAAGAAAAGTCAGCCTAGTGTAACTGATAAAACAGGAAATAAGTGAATATGTTTTTTCTTAGGTGGATGAGACTTCTTGAACAAGTCCAGATATTCATAGTGGAAAAGTAACCCAATGATGAAAAATCATGAGAACTCTTTATTAATAGAGTGACACTTGTAGGGGAGGTCAGTATTCACATGGTATAAAATGATGAATGAGGGAAATTCTTCAGTTAGTTACTCATTCTCTAGTCAATACCAAGGTTTTACCAACGGTCCTTACAGGAAGGTGGAAAAGTCAGACTGGGAAGAAAATTCTAAAAAGCCATTGAGTGTATACTTGAGCAAAAAATTAAGAATTTTGGACAGATTTGTTATTGAAAATACGTAGGGTAAAATGTACAATTCTGAAGTGACCTGGGAATTTTTTTTTTTTTTGAGACAGAGTCTTACTATGTTGTCCTCTGTAGAGTGCTATGCCATCACAGCTCACAGCAACCTCAAACTCTTGGTCTTAAATGATTGTCTTGCCTCAGCTTCCCAAGTAGCTGGGACTACAGGTGCTCTCCACAATGCTTGCCTGTTTTTTTGTTGTAGTTGTCATTGTTTGGCAGGCCCAGGCAGGGTGCAAATCTGCCAGCTCTGGTGTATGTAGCTGGCGCTTTAGCCACTGAACTACATGCACCAAGCCGTAACCCGGGAATATTGAATACAAATAGGAGAACAAAAAATGAGATTGAACTTGATTATCACTAGCAAAAATGCAAGAAGTGTTGTTGCTAAGTAAAAACTCTAGGTTTCTTAAGCAGTTGTAAACACACATTTGTGTCAATGGAACTAATGTGCAGAACACAAAATCATATGTTCTGACTGTAATTTATGTTGGTGGTATAAACATGACAGTGATGAATTTAAACATGGATTATTAAACACTAACTTTATATGGCTAATGTATAGGTCTTTACCTCCTAGTTTTTTACATCACCTTACTGATGTGTAATTGACATAAAAGCTGCACATAATATGCGTAAAACATAATGAGTTTGGGGATAAGCATACACTCAGGAAACCATCACTAATATTCATGTCACAAACATACTCATCCCCTTCAAAATTTCCTTCCTGCCTTGTTTGCTTTATCATTTTTTTCAGTCCTTTGCAAATTTTTAAGTGTAATAGAATCTCCATTTGACCACCTCCTTACATTGACACCTCAAGTTGACCTAATTTTCGTAGACTGGACTTGCACCACATGTACGTATCAGTAGGCCTAGTTCTTTACATTGACCACCCTATTAACCAGTTCCTGTCTCCAGTGGTCCACTTAACAGAGGTATATAATACAGTACCGAAAAATATAGACACTTAACAAGATCTAATATTGGAAACAAAATTAATTAGAAATGAATCTATTTAAATGAAAATTCACAGTCTTGGATAATTGCGAGTGAATTATTATGTCAGCTATTCTATATTAGCATGAATTTTCCCAGAATCATGAATCAGACAAAGTGTAGTTACATATAATAGATTTTTATTGTCATAGACTTTCAACAAGAACAAATGATTGGGTACATTTGGATTATCCCATTTCTAGAATACCTTGTGTATTTACATGCTTCATGTGACAAAAAAGCACTGATCCTCCCAGGGACAGATTGAACCCTGGAAGAGTAGAAAAGAACCAGGACAATTTGATTTTGTGCACATATCCCAGTGACAACAACCGTGAATCTACACATCAGCAACTGGAAATGCATCTTGTGTTCAAGCCCCTTCATCCACACATGCAGTGTCAGGGGGAGAGAAACTTGGAGGTTCTGTGCTGGGATGACAAGGCTAGTCCTTGGCAATAATTTGGAAATGATTAATATGCCTGTTTCACACATGGAAAAACAAATTGGTACTTAACATTTAGCCCAAGTTTTTATGAGGGATATGCAATGGCCTCCTAAATTATCTCTGTGCTTTGTTTGTATATTCGATACTGATGTGTCTTCAAGTTTTCT